CCCCGCCCGTACCCGCTCACCGCCCCCGCAGACGCACTGATGACATAAAATGCATTACACAACTCGTGAGGTAAGTCGGTTTCACACGCGACTTACCTCACTTGTGTCAATGAGGTGAGTCCGACTTACCTCACTTGTTGTGTAAAATACCACTTTTGACTCGTGGGATTGTAAAACTCGCCTTCGGCTCGTTTTACAACTTCTCACGAGCCAAAAAACCCATTACGCGCTTGTTGCGTAATATACTATTTTGCATTGCCCATTGACTCCTCTTTCTCAAGTTTCACAAGCAACATTGATAAATATGGTTGACTACGAGGTTTCCCGTGCCAGCACAGAAATTTGTTTGATTACAGCACCGTCTCAAGTCTCATAACTTATAGAGCCGGAAACTTCATTTAAGAAAAAGGCCGGTAACAAAATTGCTAGGCAACGGTACACCAGCGATGGATCGTTGCTGAGCAATTTTGTTCCTGATCGCCTTTCTCCAAGTCTCATAAAGGACATGGATAAATGTTGAACTATGAAGTTTTCGTGCCAGCACGGATATCTATTTGTACTTCATCAAATACCTCCCTGCGTCTCATAAGCAACATGGATGACTGTTGGATGTTTTTCGTGCTGGCACGTTAATCTACCTGCGTAAATTCATCCCCTTTCCCAAGTCTTATAACATGGATAAATGTATTAATTTCCGAGGTTTTCAGTGTCGGCCCGGGATTTCATTTTTCTACATTGACTCTCTTTCCTCAAGTCTCATAAGCACCCATGTTGGCACGAGAATGTAACTGTGTCCATTGACTCCCCTCTCTCAAGTCTCAAAATTGACATGGTTAAATATATTGGACCCTGAATCCTCCCCCCCTCCCAATCTCATAAGCAACGTGGATAGAGTTATTGGAGTATGAGGTTTCTCGTGTCGATAGGGAAAATCTAAGTGAATGTTATTGGTCTCCTCCCCAAATGTCATAGATAATAAGCATGAATATATTGGATACCGAAGTCTCTCATGTCGGCACGGGAGTCTACTTATGTCCATTGACCCCCTTCTCTGAGTTACATAAGTGACATGGATGAATATATTGAACTATCAAGCTTTCCGTATCAGCACGGGTGTCTGTTTATACTTTATGAAATCATTCCCCCCCCTCTGCATCTCACAGACAGGATGTATGACTACATTGGAGGTTCCTCGTGTCGGCACTGGAATGTATCCTTGTTTATTGACTCCTTTTCCTCAAGTCTCATAAGCAAAATTGATGAATATGTTGGACTACGAGGTTTCCCGTGCAGGCACGGCAGTCTACCCGTGTTTATTAATCATCTCTCCCAAGTCTCATAAGCGATATGGATGAATATGCGGGACTATAAGGTTTCCTGTGCCGACCCGCGAATCTAATTGTGTCCATTGACTCCTCTCTCTTAAGCTCCACAAGAGACATTGATAAATATATTGGACCCTAAGGTTTGTCGTACTGATATGGGCATATGTTTTTGTCCATTGACCCCCTTTCTCTGAGCTTATAAACGACATGGATGAATATGTTGAATTATCAACTTTTCCGTGCCAGTACGGGTGTCTACTTTTACTTCATTAATTGCCCCCTCCCCCTTATAATACGGATGAATATATTGGTTCCTGCGTTTTCCAGCGTGGGCACGGGAATCAATTTTTGTGCATTGGCTCTCTCTCTTAAATCTCACAAAGAACATCGATGAGCAATTAATCCTGAGGCTTCCCGTGCCGGAACGACAATCGAATGTTACCCAACTTACTCAAATATAGAACTGCTAATGAGTCTTTAAATTGATTACCGAATGGACTCATTGATTTCTTATTTATGTCACTATTTAAAAAAAATAACAATTGAATTAAGTTCAACTATTTTGTTTTCAGTCATCCTAGTAGCATAATCACGGCGTCTCTCACGCTATATTCGTTAACAAATAGTTGGATAAAAAACAATAGATAAATAATAGTAATAATAATATAAAAAAATAATATTATACAGTTTCATATTTTTAGTTTCGATTCATTTTATTTATTATTATAATATTCCTCATCTAATGAAGCGTCTTACGATTTTTTTTTCATCCTGAAACGTATTTTCACCCGATTTTCAATTTCACTCATTGATAGGTTCTCATTTTTCGGCTGCATGACTATAGGCTAAGAGCTTTTCATTAAGCTCCGCACCGAAGCCCAGGAATGCTCCCTTTTCGAACATTACCCTCCATCTATTGGGGATCCGATATATTAATATCTACATCACCGCGAGCTGGCACCTTTGCCTGTTTCACCAACCTGAACATGCCGCTACTTCCGCTGGGAAAAACCGAAACTGGGAATCCGATACTCATCCATTCTCGCATTTCACATTCCCAAGCAGCACAGTTCTGGAGGGTATCTGCAAGTATACTAAAAAGGCTGTCTAATGTCTGTCCAAAAAGGTAACTTGTGTCTAGAAGTTACCTAGAAGTTAACTAAAAGTTATCGTATAACTGCAAGATACCTTTTGGACGGACATTAGTCAGCTTTTTGGTATACTTTCAGATATCTTTCGCAAGGTTTGCTACTTGGGTTATCTCTGAGCAGTGTGAGATTTCGTTTTCGAAGTTCGTAGCAGTGCGCTCCAACCTCACGCGCAGAGGAGGGAGATTTGAATAGCGCATTACTCTTTCTCTCTCCTTCTTGAATTCTACTGATTTGTATTTTTTAGACTCATCATCGACTTATTGTAAAAATTAATGAAAAATTGATGAATAAGGTCATATAGCGCTGTATATTGCATAGAAATTTTTCCCCCTATCCTCGATTAAGTTAGATTTTCAACTCAGTCCGTGTATAACATGTGGGCGAGTTTATTTATGAGGTTATATTACGCGGGTAATTTGAACGTTNCTCTGAGCAGTGTGAGATTTCGTTTTCGAAGTTCGTAGCAGTGCGCTCCAACCTCACGCGCAGAGGAGGGAGATTTGAATAGCGCATTACTCTTTCTCTCTCCTTCTTGAATTCTACTGATTTGTATTTTTTAGACTCATCATCGACTTATTGTAAAAATTAATGAAAAATTGATGAATAAGGTCATATAGCGCTGTATATTGCATAGAAATTTTTCCCCCTATCCTCGATTAAGTTAGATTTTCAACTCAGTCCGTGTATAACATGTGGGCGAGTTTATTTATGAGGTTATATTACGCGGGTAATTTGAACGTTTGATTTTCTCATGAAATTCTCAAGTCGAATCGGAGCATGAAATATAAATAAATGTAGGAAAGAAATACGTTTTTTTCATAGAGCAGAAGTTGTTTTATTTTTTTATTTATTGTATTGATTGCTCTAAGATATACCCGTACCATACATGATAGAAGAAAAAGAAACATTTCAAAAGTCGTGTCGATAGGTTATGAAAATTAAAAGCTTGGGTCATCAGTTATATATACACACATAGTCCCCAAAAAGTTTACAGTATATACAATGGATTAAATACATTAAATACATTCCATTAATTTCATTAATTACACACCAGGTCTAAAAATTTAGGATATCATTTTACAGAGCTAACACCGTTACTTTGTTTGCAATTATTTTCTCTCGCTCAATGAGCGCTTGTTTCGTAAAGACATAGATAGCCTTTACATCTGCACGGTCAAAAGTTTCCAGGATGCTTGTGCAGAGGTTCCCCTGATCCAGGCTAGCTCGAGCAGCTGACAACCTCATAATAGCGGCGACAATTACACCAAGGAGATGATTCCCTCTTGCAAAACTTAGCGCGGGACAGGTCACCAGGAGATGCTCAACAGTATCCTTCTCATGGAGGCTACGGACAGGATAGTCGCCCATAGGGTCCAGCACATATACCAGCTGCTTTAGGTAAAAAGAGCAACGTCTCGAACCTGCCAGCCTGAGCTGCAGCAGTACCCGAGTGAAAGTGAGGCTACAATTCAGGTTGAGATGAGGTGATAAACCCTGATTCATAAGCCCTGGCAAAGAGAACTGGCAGTTTGAGGACATCAGGTAGCTTTAGAGGTCACGATCGCGCAAAAACTGCGAGTAATCAGCCAGGACGCCGTCCCTAGCCAGAGACCAGGCTACTGGGTCCACTGAAGACCAGAGGTACTCATAATTTATCTTCTTCAACATTTCGTTCACTTGAGATGTCCAATTGTACTTAACGGGTATTTCGGTGGTCATCATCAGCTGAATTTGTCGCAATAAGCACCTCCTCGGCAGTCGTTCCTCACCCATCTCTAGCACCTTGATGATCCATGCAAGGGCTAGCACCAGCAACTGGTACTCAACGTGGAGGATATTCATCTCTAGACGCATGGCTGAATTTGATGCATGTCTAGGGAGTTGGAATAACCTCTTAAAGTAGAACATCTGCGTTCTCTCCAGTAAATCAATGTGTCTCAAGCCCCAGATTGGGGCAGCATACAACATAACCGAGGCTACAAGGCTATCATATATCTTAACCTTGGAAGGCCAGTCCACCGATTTTGTTCTAGCAAGAATAGAGGAAGCTGTTCCGCAGGCTATTCTAGTTATGCTTGTAGAGCTAAGCGCCGCCTGATAGCCCAGAGCAGAGGAAGAGAAAACCACACCAAGATATGTGTATTTTTTCACGATGTCGATTTCAGAATTGCCATAGGTGAATTTTAAACTCTTGCACCTTCCAGGGTCACTGAATTTTACAATTTTCGTCTTCTGTACGTTCAAGTTGAGCTGATTGAGTTGATTGTATTTTAGCAGGGTGTTGAGAGTACGTTGCAGGGCTCAGGGAGTGTCAGCTAGAAAGATCATGTCATGAGCAGAAAGTAACGCCTGAATATCAGTGCACCCATCGATACTAATCCCAAGGTTACCGTTCTGCTTCATAAACATGTCAATGTCATGGATAAACAGGATGAACAGGAGGGGACTAAGAATCTCACCCTGAAGCACACCCTGGGTGATTTGTATCGGCTCCGTAAGCTGAGTGTCGATTCTCACTCGGAAAGACGCCTTGTCGTACAAGGCTTTGAGTACTCTTATCATTTTAGCGCTGAGACCCAGATGGAAAAGCTTCTTCCAGAGAATCTCATGGCTCACCGAGTCAAAGGCTCGTTGGTAGTCGACGAAGAGACCATACACCGAACGCTTTTTCAGTCGTAGTTACAGGTTGTGACGAAATTCCAGGCGAATTCGTCACCTGCGGAACTCCAGGG